AAAAAATGTTCTTTGGGACTTTAGTGTGCCAATTTGAGTTAATTTTTAGCCATGAGACGATAAATAGTTCAGAGTTTTATTAAGGTGTCCTTTTATGGATCCCCAATTAAAAATATAATCCGTTGTACAAAACTGAAATTAATGTGATGCAGGCACATTTTGGGAAAGCGCTCATAGCCGCTTTTAATTTTCCTTTTCAACGTCTAAAAAATCTTGGGTAAATTTGTTTGCACAAATTTCACTGTATAATCTTGCATCGTCTGTAATGTTTTTTTGCTTACTTTGTACTTTATTGTCATTATATGCTGTGATTTTGCAGAGAGATCCAGCAATCTATGATTCTTTACCCCTATTGCGAGTGTCGACTAGTAGTAGATAAACGATTCTTATTCGATTGTCGTTTTTCCATGGTATTGTGAATGTCGATTTCTCATTCAATAAGCGACTGTGAATGGTTTTTAATCGCTAATCCTTCTACAACTGTTTGTTTGTAGAATGATGAGCTACTATAAACTATACACACGCACTTATTGAACGAGAAAACGACTTTGACTTTACTACTACTCGACATTCGCAATAGGGGTATAGGGGTGCTTGTTACGGTCACATTTCTCTGCTATGTGAAACATGGTAATTCCGCTTTTATTACGTGGCTCGATCAGGCCACTCGTGGGTTTTCCTTCTACTGTTTTCCCATTCTATAAAGTCGACATTTCGGGTGCTTTCCAAAACGTCAAAATACAAAGCATCAGTCTCTTTTATTTTTAAATCGCACTATTTTCTTTTTTTTTAGGAGTTGGGTACGTTGGCTGGTTTTCACCATCGTCAGGATATTCCTTTGCTTTCAATACATATATCTCCTAGTATGTTATCTTCCAACTGATGTGTCCAAACGTTGCTCCACTGATACACATATGATAATACCCCTGAGGGCCAGAACCACGTGCAAAAGTTTTTGCTTATATTTGTATCATGCGTCTTATTATTTTCAATTCTTTATTTCCCATTAAGTGTTATTATATAAATTTTAAATATGTATCGTGTTTTAATGGTTAGAAACCTTAGCGGGCTACAAATAATCAGGTTATCCTTCTAATTTAATAATTATTAGTTATATGTCAGAATATTTTATTCAGATTTTATTTAAATGGCAAAGAACTAAGTCGCCATACCGCCAGGTTATTCCTCCAATTTGATAACTGATTGTATTTTAATGGCAGTGAACTAAGTCCTCATATCGCCAGGTTATTCCTCCTATTTGATAATATTATAATTACTCGTTAAATTATATTTTCAGGTTGTCATTTCTAATAATAGAAGTAAACTTTATTCCTTTAAACTAATTTTTGTTCCGTTTATAGGAAGTCCTGTATGTACATACATATGTTAATAATTTTTTTATTTCACAGTTAATTTGTTCATACGTTTCAACGGTACACTTTAACATTTCCATTTATTGGAATATTAATTTTCTTTATGTCAGCGTCTATTTTTTACTTATGTTATTATTATTTCATTTCACATTTTCATTTTTTAAACTAATATTTGCTTTAAAAAAAGAACTCGACAGGTTAGCACGACCATACTCGTCGAGGAGCTATTTATAAAATTTAAATTGCGCAACCTAGTTGAAAACTAACATCTAACCGTGGTTGCGCACATTTGGCATTAATCTACTAAGGTTTGGAAATAGAAGAGACTGATGCTTTGTACTTTGACGTTTTAGAATGCACCATTCCTTTGTAAATAAAGTTTTTTAAGTCTCCTAGAGAAAAAAATAAAAAAGCACGTTATTTTTCGTGACATTGAGTTTCGGTATACAAAATTTACAAGCAAATTTTCAGAGTTCGTTTTCAAAGAAATTATTTCTGCATTATAATATACAACGAGATAATTTTTAGTGGAATGCTTGTTAAGATTGCACAGTAGATATTGGTATACTTATGTAGTTTGGCTCCTGTGTTCACCAGAATTTTTTAAAGTCTGCTTAGAAATAGTCAACATTTCATTCCGCATACATAACGTAACGTAACGCACTATTAAAAAGGAGTAAAGTCAATAGGCTTTTTATTAAAAATTTTCATAATTGTCTTGAACGCAGAAGTATTCCATTTTTATTAACTCGCATTATAGCTTGGAATTGTACTGTGACCAAAAGTTTTTGTGCATATGCATGTAAGTGTGTATGTATAATTTATTGGGGTGTATGTATGTATGTATGTTTACTTAAACATGCTTCGGGGCGCTAATGAACGACATCAAGTCTGTAACAATTAATCGATATAAACTAATAAATTAACGAATTGAAAAATGAAAATAGTAGTGATGTGTGTTTCTCTTTTCCGTTTGAGTAAGCAGTGCAAAAATATCTCTTATCGCTTACGAAAGAACTTTATGCATTGACACAAGAGTCGTTAGGTATGTGCTTTATTTTAAATCTACCAATTTATTTGCAATTATTCTACAGCAAATCCACAAGTTTCCTCCACAGCCTGCGTCAACTTATCGCACAGCAACTGATACGTTTCATAAGGCGGTAAATCGATGCGATTAAAGCATGTGTGCGCTTTTGGCAAATTTTGCGTGGGCACATCTGAAGTAAGGTGTACAGTGAATAAGCGTGGTCCGACTGCTCCAGTTGAACCCTGCAGTGCTCGAAATCCCTGCAGTGGCACACGTGATGAACCAGTAACAAATTGTAAAAGACGCGCACGCATCTCGGAAGAGTAGGATTCCACTACCTTGATGATAAAGGTACACTGTACATTTTCCGTTCAAAAAATAATAGACAAAGGAATATATTTCTTACTTGCCAGAACCAAATAACTTGCGGAGTTTCCGGTGTGCAATGTTTCAGTCTTGTATTTATACGCCAATCATTAACATCAATGCTCGAAATTCCCCCAATCACCAATTCCAGTTCGCGCTCATCGAATGGACGCAAAAGTTGATTTGGGATAAGTTCACAAAAACCTATAACAAAAACTAATAAGTGTATATCCATGTTTTAATATTTTCGTTACCTTTTTGCAAGGCTAAAAACTGTTGTTCAATACCACGCATAAACCTATAATTCACATAGAGTTTAACATATTCGCGCTTATTATCCTCAGTAACTGGTATTGTGGCACCAGATGGCTTTAGTTCATGAACTACTAATGCGCCAAAGCTATTATTTTCCACACTAAATGTAGAATCGATAATTCCGGTTATGTTATTCTCCCTAAAATTTAAATTTTGATTAAATAATTTAGAATTTTCATAATTTAATTATCTTACAGCATCCAGGTTAAACTACGGTGCAACTCTGGATCAACGCCCTCAATGTCGCTTAATGTGATTGGTTTGTTAAGTAGTTGTTTATAAAAAGGAGTCGTAAATCCGCCGTCTAAACAGTGCCCATGAAATACCGCTATTCCTAAGATGCGGCCAACAAAGTGAAAATATGACAAGTGATCTGGATTAACACCTGAAATACATTTTGATAATTGGAATTGAGTCTTCATTTTTTACAAAAAAAAAACACGAAAATTTATTAGAAAAAAGCACGTAGTATATATTGCACGTTTACAGTGTACAAATGTCTCAAGTGGGACCCTCAAAATTTAAAATGTTTATCCATCGATTATTTTATTAATTTTAGATAGGTGTTATTGTAATATGATACTGTGCAAAATTGTTTGTCCCTAGTTCAAATAGTATGCAAGTTATATGCGATTATTTTTTTTATGCAGGCTTTTACTAAAAGTTACTTTATTTATTAGCTGTTGGAGATAATCTCATTCCTTTTACACAAAAACTTTAAAAATTGTCTGACGATATAAAAACTGTAATAGTTTTTGAAATTTTTTATTTTTATATATAATATTAATAAGAGCGTGTCAGACGTGGCAATATATTTCGATGCAATAAATTTCGGAAAGGCTGTCAAATTGAGAAATCAGTTGCACGAGCAGTCACACCTTGCATGGAAAGTGTCATTCGAAAGAGGTTTTTATTTCCGAACGGCGAATTGCAGGAAAAATTTCTGAAATCGCTTTTTGGCTGTTCACACAGCGAATGAGTTTCTGGCAATCTTTCTCGATACTAAAATGCAACCAGGAGCGGTGGGGTTGTCGTTTGTTTGCTATTTCTCTTGTAAAAGCGAGAAAATATAGGTTATAATTAACATATTTGTACTTTAAACAATAATTTAACGATTAAGTATGTTAAGCAAAATAATATATTTCAAGCATTTTTGATATTTAATTCAACAATATTTTTTTTATCATTTTACACAAATTCACGATCAGGGCCACACGGCAACACTCGATTAGTTTGACAGCACTTGCAGAAGAAATGAAAATTGCTAGTGCAGCAACGAGCAAGTTGAAATATATTTCCGAAATCGATTTTCGGTCTTGCTGTTGCAGTCCCACCTTGCAACTTTTATTTCTGAAACTGATTTCCGAAAGGTGACAGAAAGATCTTTCTGGCTGTTCACACATCGAAATAAAATTTCTCTTTCTCAATTTGACAGCGAATTGCGTGCGAAAGACGGAAATATTGCCACTTCTGACAGGCTCTATAGATTGGCGCTTACACATATGTTTAGTGTTTGGCCGAGCTTCTCCTCCGATTTGCGGCGTGCGCCTTGATGTTGTCACACAAAGCGAAGGGACCTACAGTTTTACGCCGACTCCGAACGGCGATTGTATTTTAATGAGAAGCTGTTTTTCATGGCAGAAATACATTCGGAGGTTTGCCATTGCCTGCCGAGGGACGACCGCTGTTAAGAAAAAACCTTTTTTCTATATTTTTTGCGATGTTGCTTTGACCAGGGCTTGAACCCAGGCGTTGCGGAGTGGAAGCGCGCACTGCTTACCACTACACCACAGCGGCCGACTATTTTTATATATACTTATTTTATTAGTAAATTTTTTCATCAACAATTTTTTTTTACTTCTGGGGCTCCGATTTTAATCGGGAAAAATAGATTAAGATAAGCAGTCGCTCGCTCTCAATCGGCAGAAAAAAAAATTGTGTTCATCTCTTTGTTTGTTTAAGCTACAGCGATTTTTCGATCGCAGTGCATACGCTGGTATGACACTCGCTTTCGTTCCGGGACAACTGATGTTCGCGACGTTCGCTATAATTGATTTTTCTTCGGTAGATAACAGTTGGCTATGAATTCGTATATATATATATGTACAGTCAGCGTCAAAATATGCATACCCTGACGTTTTGACGATTTCATTTATTTATGGCTTCCATACCAAATTTTTATAATTTTTTATAAAAATATGGTCATTCGGCAGCAAAAAACCACCATAATAAATATTTTTAATTTCATACAGAATAGGAAAATGCAAGAAATACCAAGAAATTTTAATCGAAAATTAAAATTTTTCAATAAATTTTTTTAGAAAACTTTTCGGTATGCAGTTTTGTAGCCCATTAAATTTTAGTACAATAAAGTGCATGTTTCAAGTCGCTAAAAATTACTGTTAGTTTTTGAGAATTTTTTTTTTGTAACGGTCTTGCACATTTTATTCCATATAACGCATGAATATGAAATATATTTTTATATGGGAAAAAAATCTCAAAAATCAAAGGTAGTCTTAGGCGACTTGAAACATGCATTTTATTGTACTAAAATTGTATAATATTGTAAAAAAATTAATTGAAAGACTTTAATTTTCGATGCAAAATTCTTGGAATTACTTGCATTTTCCAGTTCTGTATGAAATTAAAAAATTTATTATTATTAAAATTATAAAAATTTGGTATGGAAAGCATAAATAATTGAATTGTCAAATTTCTTGGAATTACTTGCATTTTCCAGTTCTGTATGAAATTAAAAAATTTATTATTGTGGTTTTTTGCTGCCGCAGGACCATATTTTTATAAAAAATTATACAAATTTGGTATGGAAAGCATAAATAAATTAAATCGTCAAAACGTCAGGGTATGCATTTTTTGACGCTGACTGTACATATATATAGATACGAATTCATAGCCAACTGTCATCTACAGAAGAAAAAGCAATTATAGCGAACGTCGCGAACGTCAGTTGTCCCGAAACGAAAGCGAGTGTCATACCAGCGTATGCACTGCGATCAAAAATCGCTGTAGCTTAAACAAAATAAGAGATGAACATAATTTTTTTTCTCCCGATTGAGAGATAGCGACTGCTAATCTTAATCTATTTTGCCCGAATAAAATCGTAGCCCCAGAAGTAAAAAAAAAAAAATGTTTATGAAAAAATTTACTAATAAAATAAGTATATATAAAAATACAAAATTTCAAAAACTACTACAGTTTTTATATCGTCAGACGATTTTTAAAGTCTTGGTGTGAAAGGAATGAGATTATCTCCAACAGCTAATAAATAAAGTAACTTTTAGTAAAATCCTGCATAAAAAAATAATCGCATATAACCTGCATACTATTTGCACTAGAGTTAACAAATTTTGCACAGTATCATATTAAAATAACACCTATCTAAAATTAATAAACAAATCGATGGATAAACATTTTCAATTTTGAGGGTCGTCATTCTGCAAAACCGCGTAACTGACATTGGCAGCCAAAAATTGGATTTGCTCACACAAGCGCTTGGCTCAATCCTTATCCATTCGTCCTCAAATATACTAGTCAGAAATGTGATTGCTTTATAAAAAAGAGAACTATCATGAAATATGAGTGTTTTTACACTCTAGAAAATAGTTTCTACAAATTCACATTCGCGGTTTTGCATTTTGTTGATACGCGGGTTTGCACTTTAAACGACGATATGTATGAACATATATGGTTGATAGGTACATATAGTTTGTTCTCTTAAATTGAGTAAAAGCCGATTTTCCTTTAAATGGTGAAAACATTCCGCCTAATATGCACATATCTTTATTTAGATATTCGGTAGGTTGATTTTTTACTAACCGGAATCAGGATTAATTTGCAGCGTATAGTGATCATCGCGTGAATATTGAAATAATCCATATTGGGGATTCAGCATTTCTCGCGAGAGTAAATGCAGCCATTCGCGAGCAACACCACCATAGTCGAGTCCTTCCTCTCCTTTGAATTTCACCATTAAACGTTTGCGCATATCCTTCGGCCGCATTTTCATAATCAGTCTGTAACTCTCTTCAAAGATTTCGTTACGTGACACTTCAAGGCGACAGTGACCGGACTGTGGTTGCAGTGTCTGCAACTCGGTACGCAAAGCGCGCATTTTACCAACTAAATCACGGCGGTATTTAGGCAGCAATTCAGCGCCTTCTAGAAGACCCTGCGGCAGGTCAGCAGGCAGAGCAGCAGTGTTGTTTGCTAAGCGATGAGGTGTACTAGAACCTCCATTGACGCCACTACCATTGTTATTTGCTCCTGCGCCATTTCCACCCGACAACGGATGTGAAGCGGTAGGCGAGAGGTGTTGTACAATGCTACCATTACCCGTAGAAACCACCGCGGACGTCCCAGCACCATTTCCAGTGCTTGACAGGGTACCGCGTCGTATCATTTGCAATATGTTGCAATTAAATCGAGGATCAGTAAACTGAGTCGTTCGGTTATTATGATCTACAAAGTACACTCTTCCGGAAGCAGTCTTCCTTTGTTCCCAACCACTAGGTAGAGGTCCAATTGCGTCAAGAGTTAAATGTTGAGTGTCGAAATCGCGAGGTATTCGCGGATCATGCCACGTCGATACTCCCGTCGGTATGTGAAAAAAGTACACTTGACCTTGTTGAGTTGTTCTCATTTCATAACCTGATGGTAAGTCCATAAAAGGACGCGCTGTCAGATTAGCACCACTCGTATTGCAAACCGCATGCCGATGACCCCCACCACTGCTGCTACTATTAGTAGCGCGTGAGCTCCGCGAGGAACGTCGACGCGATGGATCTTCGGTACCACGCGCAGCTCGTCGCTGTGAACGTTGAGCTGATGTAATTAGTATTGAAGCACTGGAACTTGTTGGAGGCGGGGCACCGCCATTACGTAAATCACGTTCACGTTCCCTATCACGATCTCGATCTCTTTCTCGATTGCCATTTGACTGCGTCGAACTTGATTGTGTTGATAGCTGCAAGTTTGAGTTTGCGTTGGGACTCTGCACCAAACCGACGCTGCCAACACTGCTGATTCCGCTACCATTTCCATTGCCTGATACCGAACACATACCAGTGGGGGTCGCAGAGGCTGGTTTCTCATTTGTTTCGATATTCCAACCATTTGTCTGTGGCTGAGAAACATTTGCTCCAACCACACCAGTATTGCCATTCACCTAAACATATAATTCAAAAAAATAGTCCGAGGGAATTTGATAATCTTAATGTCACTAATTACCTGATTCTGGTTATTTGGTCGCTGTGGAGTTACCGGCGCTCCTAAAAGTTGTGGTCCATCACTAGGCACCATGGAATTATGGCCATTGCGCCCATGCGCAACATTGCTCGAAGCCACCGTAAGAGAAGTACTTGCTGTTGTCGTGGTTGCCGTAGCAACTGCCATAGTTGCTGTTGTCGTGGTATTCGTTGCCAGTGGTACAAAATCACTTACTCGGGTCTGTGACGAAGCTGCTGCTGCTCCATCAGATACTTTAACAGCGCTTGCACAAGATTGATTTTGCTGCCCATTTCCGCGAATCTGCTGCGTAGCCTTTTTCGCTATGTTATGTGCCGCTACTTCCACATTACTTGTATCCTTCTCCACCCTCGTTGGGCTGCAATTCTCTTTTCCTAATTGATTTGCGGTATTTGTGTTGCTACCATTGTTAATACTACCACTCCCTACGCTCGTTGCGGTGAGAATTTCTGTGGAATGACGTCTCTCGTCAGCGGCGTCTTCGATCCCATTTCTTCCATTACTGCAGATATTTTGGCCATTAAGAAGATTTGTGCACGTTGTCGAGCGAGTTGGCCCAATTGGCTGATACAAATTAGGATTTTGACTATTATGCTCAGCCGAGCGTTGTCGTTGACGCGTATTTGGACGATCCCATTGCGTTGACTTTGTGGCATGATTTACATAATATACACGACCGTTGCCCGCCCGACGTTCCTCCCAACCTTCTGGCAGACTGTCCTCGGACGAATCGTCTTCCGATGGGCCCCGTACATCACCACTGGGCCCTACTACCGCTAAGGGATTACCACCGCATGGTCCATCTTTCGACAATAGAGCAATTATTATCTGACCGCGAACCATATCATCATCATCTGGTGAGAGTTTCCCCAAATTAAGTCTCGTAACTGAAAATTAAGACATTTAGCACTTTTTTGTGATAAGAACAATACGAACGTACATCCCATTCCCTTCAGTCTCTGTATGGAATCCGCAGGTATGCGGACACACCCGAGAAATCCACTGGCTTTGTTTATTTTCCGCTGATTCCACACCGTAATCGTAACAGCATCATTACTACCCACAAAAAGGTCGTAATGCGCATTCCATTTAGGATCCAGAGATGACTTGCTAATATCCGTGGTATATACCTGTGTTGTTCCATCAACCTGAACTTTGGCAAAAGGATCAGGAAGTCCTGGAAGAAACACAAATGCTTTATTACGATTAACTGAGCTTCAGAAGTTTCATACTATATTTAATCAAAAGTGTTTGAGTTGCAAAATTCCCCGTTTGTCAGGAAAAGCAAAAAAAAAAAAAATGAATTTCTGAGCTCAGGTTTATCATATGGAGTAGGGATTCGTTAAGGTTCAGTTAGTCTAGACCTAATTTACGTAACGCAATATACACTCACCAGAATATGTTTCCGTACATTTTTTTTTAATAGCTCTGATCCAGTACTCCATGAACTTACAGGATTTTACACGAACTTGCAGGAAGTTACAGGAAAGATGTTCCCGTACTCCAAAATCATCCAAAATCCTGTAAATGAGAGCGACTTTTGGAGAGTTGTGTAGAGAATGAAGTTGCAAGATTTTACCCGAACTTTTTCTTCTGGTAAAATCATGAAAAGTGTCAAGCAATCACTGGTTGACGTTTTTACAGGAAAAATGGTTTTTTGTTCCCATACTTTTTGTTGTCTTTTACTCGCTTTTTACTCTCATTTCAGAGAGTAATTTTGCTGTTTGACAGTTTCACAGGATTTTTCACGGAAAGTATTGGATCAGAGCTAATATTTGCAATGTTTTTTCGTAATAAATTTTTCTCGTAAATTTTTAATAGAACATCCTTCATGAAATGGCATACATAATAATGATTCATAGTTTTTACAAAATTTAGAAAAATTCGACAAATTTTCACCAAAATTTTAGAATTTTCTTGAGTATGCAGTTTTGTAGTTCACTCAATTTGAGTATAATAAAGTGCAAGTTTTAAGGGGCTATAATCTACCGGGGCTATAATCGCATTTTTTTTGCTGATGATGTTGCTTATTTTCTCTGTAAACCGGATGCGTGATAGTTTTTTGCCGTAGAGCGTCAGTAAAAAAATTCTGGTGGACAGCACATACAAGTAGTAGAAACCATAAAGGACCTTGGAGTAATCGTTGACAACAAATTAACTTTCAGCGAACATATTAGTGATATAACCCTTCGAGCATATAGAACACTTGGATTTGTGTGTAGATCCGGGAACGAATTTAGAAATGTTAACACACTTATTCGACTTTTCTCCGCGTTTGTTAGACCAATCCTAGAATAGGGGTCGGTGATATGGTCCCCTACACGCAGCAACAAATTAACAGCATAGAAAGAATACAACGTAAATTCTGTAAATTTATGCTTTACTTCACACATGCCGAAAACACTATGACTGTTGATAATATCTACAGCCAATTCAATGTCTCCAATCTAGTGAAAAGAAGACAAGTGACCGGTTACCGTTCTACCAAATTTGCCACATAAAAGCAAAACGTTGAAAATTATTGAAATCGGTCTAAAATTGAGGCCGCTTTTCAAATAACGGTTAATTTCAGAAATGCTTGATACTTCAATATTTCGAAACTTAAAGACTCTAATTTACTCAAAATTGATACACTCCGACTTACCATGAAGCGGTAGCTTTCGGAACGGTGAAAATCGTATATTTAGTACTTGCGCCCGCCCGAACTTAGACTTTCTTACTTGTTTTTTTTATTTATTTACATACATATATGAAAATGTGTAGGACAGCCAGCAAAAAATTCTCAAAAATCAACGCGAATTTTTAGACATCTGATATTTACATATTCTTATACTAAAATTTAATGAGCTATAAAACTGCATACCTGAATTCTTTTTAGAAATTCGTATTAAAAAGTTCGCGATTTTGCTGAAACTTTGCAGATTTTTATTAATTCAGTTTTGGGAGCAACCGTATGTACATACATACATATAGCAGCAATTAATTTCATTTAAACAAATTACATTTCGTCCATTTCCAGTTGATAAAAGCGTTGTAAAATGAAGAAAAATAGGGGCTCAGCAAAATTTAACCGATGAAAACTCCTAACAAGCTAGGTCTAACCATATATTGTTATTTTAAAGGTATATAAATCCTATTTCCAAAACTTGTTCGATTTTTAAAATCGGATGGAAAGTAGTCAAGTTATAAATAGATATGTGCACCAAGATTGAAAATAACGTTTTTTTGGTATAAAAAATGGAGGGTTCAGGAACTATACCGGCCGCATTTGCATGTTGTCCTCGACCATACCTACAACATACACTAGGTTTTGTTTGGGGTGTATTTCACGCTTTTTTTTTTTGTAGCACCGTGTAATTAATAATGGGGATATGACACCACCCTGTGGAACCCACTGTTTAATTTTCCTTGGTTTGCTGTTTTTATCTCTGAAGGTTACTGACGAATGTCGACCACTCCCTGAGTCTCTGTGGGGGAGAGGAGACCTCAATGTCTTCTAGTAGCGTGGACTGACTGACGGTGTTAAACGCCTTTGACAGATCCAACGCTACTAGGTCTGTTCACAGAGGCGGTTTGGGTTAAGGCCACGAGTTATCTGAAAATTGGTACGAATGTTGTGATCACCATTATGAATGAAATGTCAAAAATACCCATCGATCCCACGTCTGCAAAAATAAAATGATTCAAGGTCAAAGGTCACATAAATTGATTTTTGGTATTTTTCAGTAGAACTGTAAAGGTTTATCATAAAAATAGGTGAGACGAAAATGTAGATCATACAATTATCTATATAACTGTTATAACATTTTTCTTCCTAAGGACTACCATTTCTGAGCTATAGCGATTCAAAGTTGTAGTAAAAAGTTCTGTACGCCATAATATGCAAATAATAAATTTGTATAAAAACTTTTTGTATGTATCTCTACTTAAGTGCTCATAACATCTACATTTATTATGCAATTTAGATGAGCAGGGCCTTATTGAATTAATGAAGGATCATGCTTTGACGTGGAAGTATCCGAAAGTTAACAGGTTCTTTCATGTTGATATTTTTACCGAAAGTAACAATTTTTTATTTTTATTTTTTTAATTGTGCAAAATTGCTGATGAAACAATGATAGGAGCTAATCACTACTACTACTACTTATCCGTTAGAAAATATCGTTTATGCAGAAGAAAACATGCAATTAAGTGAGTGCACTTTTTCATATCTCTAAAAACCGAGATTTGGCTATATCTCAAAAACTATTGTATTTTGACTACTTATTCCGATTCAGCGGAAAATTTTACGCCACAAATCGGAGGAGAAGCTCGGTCACATACCAACATATGTGTAAGCGCTAATCTATTATTATTATTAATATTATTTAGTTAAACAGAACTCCGAGGAAATCACGTTAAAAAAAAACGCACCAAATACACTGCTCCACAAGTACAGTGTAAATTGTACATATTATGGAGAACACAATTTTTTGAATGGTTATATCTCAGGAAAGGTAATTTGGAGGAAGAAAAATGTTATAAAGGTTTTTATAAATAATTGGGTGATCTACACTTTCATCTTACCTATTTTTGTGAAAATCCTTACCGTTTTGCTGAAAAATTAGAAAAAAATAATTTATGTGACATTTGACCTTGAATAATTTTTTTTGCAGTCGTGGGATCGATGTGGACTTTTAACATTTCATTCATAATGGTGTTTACAACATTCGTACCAATTTTTAGTTTTATGCGAATTATTGTAACCTTGAATATCTAATCTGACCGGGCTAATACGGTTGTTTTTGTAAAATTTTCACCCCTATTGCGAATGTCGACTGGCAGTAGATAAACGACTATTAAGCGATTGTCGATTATCGATGCTATTGTGATTGTCGCTTACAGGTCTATTCAGCGCTGGTAACATAAATTTTGTAACCGGTAATTAAAGTGTCTGTCAATTTTTAACCCTTTTTCGCATTCTGTGCTCTCTTGTAACCGGTAAATTTGGTTACTATCTCATAAGTTGATAACAAAATATTGCTCCGTGAAATATGCAATAAAGGAATTTCCACAAATCTTCATAGCTGAATTGCTGAATATTTTCACTGCATTACCAACGTACCTAGAATCGCGGTGACAAGAAGTGGTAACATTTTTTGGTAATAAAATTTTCCGGTCACAAAATCTTCGGTAACGTGCAGAATAGACCTGTTAGTCGCTCAATTAGCGACTGTGAATACTTTTTAATCGCTCATCCTTCTATTGCTGTTCTTTAGTCGTTGGAGTTTGCGTTTATAAAATTTACATAAGAAAGTGTTACTATAATGGATAAAAAGTAAGTCTAAACTAACTAAAATGGAACTTGTAAAAAATTATGAATTATACATATGTATGTATGTGTCTAAATAACAGATCAAAAATTGTAAGGAACAAAAGGCAACTTGCGCGGTTGGTCGAGCTGAAGCAAGAGTATGAGGACATAGGCAAGGAATTTTCGGAAAGAGTAGGGGCGGTAGCTCCGCTTGTATTGTGAAAGATATGCAATATATCTTGTGCATATAACTCCGGCTACGTCATCCACAGTATTTTTGCGCAGAACCAACATCAAAGTTTCCAAAAACTTGCATAAATTATGAATCAACTAGTGCTCGGAAATTTGAAATCATTACTTTAAATTAAAGTTTAATTGTTTCACTACACTTGTGTGTTAAAGTTTTTAAACTCGGGTCACGCGTTTGTAAAACCTACAAACCGGAAGCATCTGGAAAGTAACTTCTATTCATAAAATTCACATATGTACATACACTTCATCTTCCAACTCCAAAGGGTCCGACGAATTTCGTAATTCCCTCCTTGCTTTAACCAACTCTACTAATCTATTAGCTTCCACATCATCTTCCTCATCACTAAACCATATTTCAACTGTATCAATTTTTTAAATTTTATAATAAAAGCAGTTATTTTAAAAATGATGTAAATGAAACACTAAAGAAACAAATGTAATCAAACAAACAGCTGTTTACAATTCGGTCAACCATTCACAATAGTACAAATTTTTATCGATCAAGTTACACAATTGCAAAATAAAGGATGATCGACTCGATCGACAAATTTCTTTTCTACTGCCAGTCGACACTCGCAATAGGAGCCTTTGTTGAATTTTTCTGCAAAGTTTGTAATATAGGCATATGTGTA